AAAAAAAAAAAAAAATAAAACCAGCCACTCTGCCAGCTTCTACCACTCAACAGTGAAATATTAAACCAGAAAGGGAGTTTAATGAATATTCATTTAATCACCAGACTGGAATGAAGTATTTAATTTATAGTAAAACAGCAAATGCACACTATAAACTGAGTGCTGAACATGTACTCATAGAATCACAGAATCATTTAGGTTGGAAAAAACCTTTGAGACCATCCCTGTAACTTGCTTTGTTTCCGTGCACTGTGAGAATGCTGTTTCTGTATTAGTCTGGCTACAGAGATGCAGTGATTCTAATCAGCAGGTTACCATAAACTCAAAAAAAAAACATTGGACAACTGTGCTTTTCATAATAATTTTTTCCAATGTAATATCCTTGGTGCTATTTAATATCTCTCTCTGTGAAGGACAATTTCAACCTGAAAGATTGGATTGTTTTACTTTTATGGAGTGAGAACAATGATTAATTTGGCTGTAATTTAATCAAGTCTCTGTTAATGTTTACTTGAGAAATTTTATTAGGTCATGTTTCAGTTTTAATCTTATCAGTGGCCATGCTCAGAATCTTATTTCCAGGCTCTTTTCAATAGTTAGTAAATAAGTGACCCAACCTGATTCTTCACCACTTTGCAGCTTGTGTTCTTGTTTGTGTCAGTAAGAAATCAGTGTGCAGTGCTGTCATTTCAATCTGGAACATTTTGCAGAACATTTTACATATATTTACAGATGTTTTCCCTATGATGCAGTAAAAAAATGACTGTACAAGGCACCAGGATGGGGTCATTCCCATTTGGGCATCATGAGACAACTTGTTCCCTCCCCATTGTAGCTTTCCTAGGCGGTACTTAACTGAGAAATGCTGGAAGTGTTAAGCAATAGATGACAGAAGTCCTTTTGGGATGGTCACTACAGTGATCATTCCTTCCAAATACTAAAGAAATGGAAGTGGACAGCAGTCTCAGGCATCTCCTTTTAGGTATGTGGAGAATCAGGTCTGCATATTTTGTCCAGTGACACACTTGCAAAGGCCTATGGATTGCATGACTAGGTAATGAAAGCAGGTGCTTTAGAGCATTTGCACAAATGTATCGTTTATCCTTACTCAGATCAAATTCCTGTGGCTGGAGATGAGAAGGATTTTTCCCTCATATTCTGCATCTTAGTTACCCATGTCCCACAGATGAGCACTCTGATATGACTGGAAGCTTGTCATCAGAAGAGATTTAAAAGTAACAGAGGGTGGTATGGATTGTTGAAATATAGCATCCTGTGAAATTCATGAATCTCTCTTGTTTATTCATTTTAATGCCCCTGAATGACTAAATACTTGATACTGTGATCCTGTATTCCTCTTCTTCCCTCCATCTGATGTACTAATTGGGACATGGAGCTGTTGGATAGAGATTGAATCCTGACTGCAGAATTTATAAGGCACGTATTATATACAGTGAATCAGATAGTCTAGTAATGCAGCCAGCTCTTATGTCATGGGTGGAGGAGAAAAAGACGATTACTCAGAAATTATGTGCTCCAGCAGTGCTGAGCTGATAAACAGTGGTTTAGAGATCAGGCAAGAAGAATTTGAGTAGCCCAAGGGAGACAAAACCTCCTGCTGTGCTGTGATCAGCGTCAGAGAACCCTTTCCCAATAAACAGAAACACAGAATCACTAATCACAGAAACAGCTCCATCATATCCAGTACCAAAGATTTCCAGTCAGAAAAAACGAGGAGGCTTGTACAGAGTATGACGTCTAATGAAGAATCATCTGCATCACACAAAAAGTGAGTTTCAATAGAAGTGGTTGTCCTCTAACAGGGAACCCGGTAACAGCAAATGTCAAGAGGACTACATCTTTATTTCTTTAAAGGGTGAAAACATACTAGTGTTGTGAGCTAAGCTTCAGAAGTTCTGTGTTTAGAGGGCTTTGATTTTTCCTTTTAAAAATTTGTGTTTATTTATTACACTTGCTCAAACTGTTCTGCAGCCAGGCTATTCATCAGCCAGCTCTGATGTAAGAAGTAGTTTGGATGGGACTTAGGTTTTCATAGTACCATGCTAACCATATGTTGCTCCTAATTGGTCTTGCTGTCAGTTAATAAACAGGTCTTTTAAAGTGTTACTAATTTAGAAAAAAAAAAAAAACCAACCCCTGACAACTTTGTCTTCACAACAGAACATGAGAAAGGACAGTGCTGGTGTAAAGCAGTATGGTGCTTAATGTTGCATTTAATTTTTCAGTGTCAAGTAAGATTTTTTCCAAAGTACTGCCAAATAAATCTCACCTAGGGGAATAGGGGCTGCAATACAAGACAATTTGTTTTCAGCCTCTACTGTAACAACATTCAGCAGTGAGCCAGACAAAACCACACGAGCGTAAATAGAAGTGACTGAGCCAAAAAATAATTGCCATAATTATATACCAGGTAGTCAGATTAATAGTGATAATATATTTTTTTCCCCACACTGCTGTTTACTAGCCAGCAATGGGATTTAATCTTTGCTATGCCTGTCATCTTTTGACACTGGAGAAAAAAAGTTTTGTTTTGATTTGTTTTATTCTCATTAGTTTGTTCAGGAGTTACTCTCCAAAACACTAGTCCTGTTTTTCATCATGATCAAGAAGTGTAAATAACTTGGGCTGGAAGTCTGGCTTCTCCTACAGGAAGGGTACCTTGTTCATCCAGTGCCAGGAAGGTGGAAATACCCTTAATTTTATGTTCAATTAAATACAAGGTTTGTCTTCTGTCCGAAGATTTCTGAATAGTTTAGCTTGAAGAGTTTGCTTGTGGAAGAAATGAATTACATATTTATTTTCATTGTCCCCAAACTAATGACTGCCCAACATGATTAAACTCCCCTTGTGCTATTTTCTGTATGTTGTTTGTGTCCTCACCCATAATTACATCCACAGAGTCTTCATTAAGCAAAAGTTTCCAGACTTTTTACCTTACAACCTTTTAGCTTTTTTACAAGAGAAGCATAGATTCTTTCATTAGTTTCAGAGTAACATGTTCTTCTTAATTACCTTTTGAAAGAGTTTGGAAGTCGCTGTTAAATCACAGTAAAACTTAAGTGTCAAATTTGTGCTTTTAATAGGGAAAACTTCCTCTGCAGGAGAAGGCAAGGTTGCAGGAACAACCAGGCATTGCCACCTCTGTAAGGAAAGACCTCAGGAACTTAGAGGTGTTGCTACTGTATGCTCCCTTGAATATGCTTCTATATTGCCTTCATTTCATTACTATGCCCTAAGGTTATACCTCTGCTTGCTGGTCGTTGATTCAGATCTCAATTCTCAATTGAAATTACAGTAATTGAAAATTTAATTGTAGCAATTCCCTATACTGCCACCAGGACTCAATATTAGACATTGGACAAACTGAATCTTATATCATACTTTCTATACACATTATGGTTACTATCTCCTTCCAGTTCTTCTCAACCATGTATATGGCTTAATATCCAAGTGGAAATCAGTAGACTGGTGTCCCTCAAGGGTCTGTGCTGGGGCCAGTGCTATTTTATATTTTATCAATGACACAGTGGGGTTGAGTGCACTTTCACAAAGTTTGTGGATGACACCAAGCTTGAGTGGTGCAGTTAATATGCTTGAGGGAAGGGATGCTATCCCTCATCTAGTTGTACTAAATGATCTTCCAAGGTCCCTTGACAGAATGGAGGAAGAGGTTAATACAAACCATGTGAAATTTAACTAGGCCAAGGGCAAGGTCCTGCACCTGGGTTGGGGCAATCCTTAATATCAATACAAACTGGGTGTTGAATGGATTGTGAACTGGCCTGCAGAGAAGGACTTGGGGGTACTGGTGGATGAAAAATTGGATATAAGCCAGCAGTGTGTGCTTGGAACCCAGAAGGCAAGTCATATCCTGGGCTGCACCAGAAGTGTGGGCAGGTGGTCAAGGGAGGTGATTCTCCCCCTCTACTCTCCTCTTATGACATCCCACCTGCATCCAGTTTTGGGGTCCCCAGTACAAGAAAGACATGGACATGTTGAATTGGTTAAGAGGGGAGGCCATGAAAATGGTTAGAGAGCTGGAACACCTCTACTATAAAGAAAGGCTGAGAGCATTGGGGTTGTTTAGCATGGAGAATAGAAGGCTCAAGTGAGATCTTATTGTGGCCTTTCAATATATCAAGGAAGCTCATAAGAAAGATGGACGAAGACTTGGCATGTAGTGATAGGAGAAGGGGTAATGGCTTTAAACTGAAAGAAGGTACATTTAAATTAGATATGAGAAAGAAATTCAAAACAAAGAAGGTCTTCACGATGAGAGTGCTGACACTGAACACGTTGCTCTGAGAAGTTGTGGATACCTCATCACTGGAAATGTTCAACGCCAGCTTGGATGGGGTTGAGCAACTTGATCTAGTGGAAAGTGTCCCTGACAATGGCAAGGGGGTTGGAATTAGATGATTTTGAAGGTCTTTCCCAACCCAAACCTTCTTGTGATTCAAACTATTCTATTAGCCTGTGATACCTGCCACATCTAACCACTGTTTCCCGCTCCTAACTATTCTTTCCTGGCATTGACCTTCTTAGCTGCTTTATATGTAGACCACCAAATATGGTGAGATATTGATCCTTGGTCATGTGTATCCATGAGTATGATGATATAAATATACATTAGTTTTCTTACAATGAAGGAAATGTGTAACATATATTGTGAAGATCTGTCTTTTTTGTTTCTAATTTCTGTCAAAGAATGAGATTCCTTTATATCATAGACAAAACTTATTTAAAAATTTCATACAGAAAAATGTTTTGTGAAAGTAATTTTTACCCTGTTTGGAAGTAAAAAATCCACAAAGAAAACCAAGGTTAACAGGATCTCTATTGTGATCCTGGAAAGACGTGCTCAAAGACTGCAGTTATCTCACCGGCGTGCGCCATGCTGGTTGCATATATTTACAAAAGACACCAATGAGTCATATGTAAACATTTTGATTATAAAGATTTTCTTCCTTTTCCCACAGACTTGCTGCTTTCAAACAGCTGCATCCCATTCCTGGGCTCAACAGAGGGGCTTGATTTTCGAACCCTGCTGTTAGATGAGGAGAGGGGCCGGCTGCTAATCGGGGCTAAAGACCACATCTTCCTGCTCAACTTGGTTGATTTAAACAAAAATGTAAAAAAGGTCAGTTTATTTTCCATAGAGTTCATCTCGTACATTCAATTTTGGTCCTTTTCTTTCTTCTTTTTTTTTTTTTTTTTTGTGAACTAGTTAACGGACAGATTCTATGTGCAATGCTGTGCACCAGGATTTGATAACCTCACCTCTCATAGTTATACAAATTATCTTCAATAAATTGAATTTCTCATGGTATGTGACCGCCTGTGAGACTGATGTCCTGCAAGAGGTCAACTACCTGGAAGAGCTCTGCAGTGCATGAAAATAATACCAAAATGTCATTAAAAAGGAAAAAAAGAATTCAGCTGGGAGTGTTTGCTTCTTAATTTCTCTGGTCATGGCAACCCTCCTCAAATAAAGCATTTGAAAGAAGAAATCTGAAGACAGCTCTTTCCTTGCTTCCTATTTGCTCTGGGATTATGTTACTGGGATATGAAACAGAGCAGAGGCAAATTTGGATGGCTTAAATTATAGTAAAACTGTTGGTGTCAATTTTAATATTAATATATTACTAATATCTACAATTAATGATGATAGGAGAAGTTTCCACTGGGATTTACTGTACTCCCTTCTCCATGCCCTGTGACAATGTGTTAACTCCAGATAATAAGATGGCAATTTAGCTTTTGGTATTTCTAGCAGACATGATGGGCTTTTGTAAGAACAATTGACTGCTACATGTAAAAAACAGATGCTTGCACAGGAACACACATGAAAACGGCTTTCCTGCTTCTCTCAGATATGCTTTGTACTAAAGAAAATTTAAATTCTCAGCTGTGTTTGATATTTTCTTTAAGCACCAGGAGGAGGGTTTAAATTACTATGTTCTGCTGTCAGCTCTGGAGAGGTAACTGACCCTGAATTAGTACAACTGCAGCACAGGGGCATAGCAGGTGTAACAGGAGACTATTTTGCCCCATATGTTTGAGTGCAACACTTGCTGCCATTGTATAGAACAGATACAGTACCAGGCTGAGTATCTTATTTCTTATTTTGACTTCTGCAATGCTCCATATGCCAGTTTCTTTAAAACTCAGATTCTGAACGTTTCAAGAAATTTCTTCCCTGGGAAGCCTTATCAAATCCTTAACTTGTGTCACCATCTCAGTTGTTTACTCAAAAATCAGCACCTCCTCGGGACATTGTATTAATAACAGCATTGTTCATATTGCAGATTTTCAGAGTACGGATTGATTTCTGGCATAGGCTTTCTGTAGAAAACAAATTTTGTTGTGTGAAAAGCAGATTTCTCTTTCTGTGGGATTCTGCGTACCTCCTGAGAGATGCTGTGTGCTGTCACCTCCTCTTATGTTC